TGGCCCATAGCTCATGCAGCGCATCGGCCCAAATGATGTAGACTTTGCATTTGGCGAAATCCCGCCTGTCGAAGTCGATAAATTTGGCCGCATGCCGATACTCCAGACAGCTGCACTGGTACCGAAGATCTTGCACGGCCTCTCTTCAGATGCACTAGGCCGACCTATGCCAAAGACAGTGGTTAATATACAAATTTGACTAAGCAATCTAAGTAGGGGGCCTACTTCCTGGGAATGAGGATGACAGTACTTGGGAGTATAGGGGATGCCTGCTTTTCCTGTCACTGCTCTCCCAACACGCGCTACACAAACATCTACAGCGCGACCTGTTCTGGAAAGGTCTTGCAACACGTCCGCTGGTGCTGTTCTCCTTGGTTCTACCAGGCAGCGATGGCCCAAACACTTCACATGCAAGAGACAGAAAGTCTCGTACTAGTCGTTGGTCCAATATCGTCCAACCGTGGGGGTCCCTGTTTGAAGTCCTGAAAATCAGGCTTGTGGTCAATGTCTTTGGAACTTTGGGCTGTAGATGTAGGGGAGCTAATATTCATCATGCAGAATTTGTGGCAATGAAAGGAATGGAATGCTTGTCAATAAGAAGGCACAGTGATAGTGGATTATGGTGCAGTCGCCTGATAGCATTGGCATATGGCTAGGATGGGGCCACAACATATCGCGAAGACACATTTGAGCCTCGTTTTTGTTGTTCGCTATTCTAACAAAACCCTAAACCCCTAAACTAACAGTAGCTGGCAACAATGCAACAGGAGTCTTGAAGTTGACCGCCAAAATGTACAGGGGACTCTGGGTGCGGAAGATTTCGGAAGGTCTGCGGAAGGTGATTTGCTCCGCAGAGGTCTCCTACAACAACTGCTCGCCCTGCCTAAACCCTAAACCCTCAAGCCCAATATAAACTTACCATTACTTAGGATTCCCAAATTTCCTGAAGCTCAAAAATCCACCCCCAAACCCTACCCTAGACCCTCAGTAATCAACCCTAGACCCTCAAACCCACCAAACGGCGATGGTTTTGTCAAGGTGTCAGGCTTCCCGAGGGGAACTTCGCGGAAGTAACAATAGTAACAATATCAAGAGTAATAATAGTAATAGTAATTATGGTAAGAGTAATAAATAGTAATTGATGGTAATAGTAGAAATAGTGATAATAGTAATAACAGTAAAAATCAATAATGATTAGCCCGTTATTATTATTGTTACTTAAACGGTTCCTGTCAGGCCGAAGGCCTTCTTGAAAGCCAGTCAGTGCACGTGTCGCATGAGCTATCGTCTAAATTCTTTAAAGGGTGTTATTTAGGGGACGGTATAGGGTGTAGGGATTACGGTGCCGGCGTAGGGTTTAGGGATTAGGGTTTAGGGTTTAGGGGTCTAAACTCCTTCAAGGGGGGGTTATATAGGGGACTAGATAGGAGATTATTATAGGGGTTGGTGGGTGGGGGGGTACTAGGAGTTCAGACTATAGCTCACATGCGTTTCATGTCAGGTTCTGTGATTTAAGATGATTCAAGATGCTCGTAGTTTGAAATGCGGTCGGTCATGGTGATCAATAATGAGCAGAGGCTTCCTCCTGCTAGCTTACTGTAGTCAGAATCAAGCGTCACATTCAGATAGCGCAAGATCCAACCATGCAAACAGTTTGCGGAAATGGCAAGATACTTTGGGCCCGGAAGCCATCATTTGTTAGCAACGGGGTTTTGTGCTCACGGCTCATTGATCCTGAGATCTCCTTTCTGTCTTACAGTCTAAGGCATATTGCAAACTTTTGTGGAGATTTGCTTTGAATGGGACCGCGTCAAAACCAACGACTTGTAACAAGGCTGGGGCCCCCACGCGCGACAAGCCCTCCAATGCCATGAGTATTCTAAGTCTTTTATTATAGCCGCGCAACAACGCGTAACAAGCCCTGCGTTTCACGGGTAATGATCAGAGGCTAGTCTGCGCGGGCGATCGGGGAGGGGTTTCGACTCACTCCCAAATAATAAGCTCAGTATCCTACTCGTCCCTCTGTCCAGGCTCTGGTCGTTGCATGCGTCCCTGTACGAATGACCAAATATAGAAGAGGCAACATGTCAAGCTTCGTCATGAGGTTGTCAAAACTAGACAGATACTCCCGACCTGTGGTCCCTGCGTGATGAAACAGACATGTTTCCACAGGCATGGGATGCGCGATTTCAATATGCTATCACAGGGATTAGTAAGATGAGGATGGAGATTGGGTTCTGGACAAGGTGCTTTTGATTGAAGGCGATGGCATGCTCACCAAAAAAAAGGACAGAGTCATTGTACATCACAGCGCTTGAAACCTCTGAGACACTCACATCGTTTCAAAGATCCGTCGCCCAAGGCATTAATGAAATGAATCCTGCACATCATCTCATTTGGCATGTGGAGAGCAGTACTTGAGGCAAACGTATCATGCAGAACCTGAAGTCTGGGACAACCTCAATGCTCAATTCTCATACCTGGCCCCATGAATGAACCGTTCGTGAAAGCCCCCATTGAACTTCAACGCCCAATTCTCCTAGTGCCAAGCGTGCTGTAACCCCTGTGCAAAATGGAAGGCGGTGTGTAATCATGGGAAAAAGACATTACAGGGTGAAAAGCGGACCCTACAAAGGGGCCCCTGTAGCTAGGCGGGGTTGTGAAGGGTCAGCCTTATTAAGGCCTTAGGAGGAAAGGATTCTACAAGCAATCCTTTCAAGATTTTGCAATCCGCAACCCTCATCCCTAAACCCTAATCCCTAAACCCTTTTCTTTTAGTGCCTTCGGGAGGTGATTGGCCCACCATAAACGCGCTGACGTCCGGGGGCATCTTCTCTGGACTGTTGGGTACAGTGTCAACACTCCTCACAGGACTGGACCTTTAGCATGTGTGCGCAAGCCAGCGAGAGACCAATAGGGTTATATATTGGGGTTGTATTGGGATAGTGGAAAAGAAAATGGAGACTACTAAATCATACATTAGGGTTAGATATTGGGGTTGTGTCTTGCTGTGCACCGTTGTCAAGCAGTCTGTGATATATACTGGGGTTATATTGGAATAGACATGCTGCATTACAAGTACAGTACTGTCGAAGGGGGCCCCCGAAGGGACAAGGGTGTTGATTCTCCATGTGTTTGCATCAACAGTGATGCGTTGCTGACGACTGATGATCTAGGAGTCAGCTGCGGTACGCTGCTTGGAAATGCTGGCAAGAAGTTGTTGAAGCCGGCAGCTTTACTTTATGCGGTTGACACCTGGCTGATTCATGACAACGCTATGTCAGCTCTTGCGGCTGTGTCTGCTGTCTATGATGACCTAGTCTGAATAGTGGATGCAGCACTCTGTGACGAAAGAAGAGGTGTCTCCACAGTGTCCACAGTTTGCGGTCCACATGGTTCCATACTACGGAATTGAGATTGCGGAAAAGTATGAAAGAGAGGTGAAGGCTCTGAAAGTGCTGCTACCGTAAACCCTTCACCCTAAGTACCCTAAACCCTTAATAGTGGCTTCCATTCTCTGTCTCCATTATCCCTACATATGCCCGGTATAGTATAGTGGTTTTCATTTTCTTTTTCATTATCCCAATATATCCCGAATATACACCCTAAACCCTAAACACTAAACCCCTAAACCCTAACCCTAAACCTGATATATTTTTTAGTAGTTTCCATGGTCTTTTCCATGATCCCAATATATACCCAATATAAACCCTAAACCCTATTTAGTAGTTTCCATTGTCCTTTCCATGATCCTCCCAGGATGGATACCTGCAGCTGGCGAAGTTCCTCTGCCCTTCCCATGTCACGTATCCAGCCAGCTCCACAGGCGCACAATGCTGGTCAATTTATTGGGGGTTATATGGGCATACTGCAAAAGAAAATGGACACTACTATAGTATATTGGGGTTATATAGGGATAATGGACGAGAGAATGGGAGCTACTATTTAGGGTTTAGGGTGGTTCAGGGTCGGTACTTCGGGTTTAGGGTTTAGGGTTTGGGAATAGTACCAAAATGCTTTTGACTCTTGAATTGCAATTGTGCTATATTCCCCTGCAATGGTACTTTCCAAGAGCTGGGTCTAGGTTGCCCGACATGTGCTTGCGACAAGGTGTTCTGGGAGTTTAAGTTTCCCTCAACTGGGCACCCCAATATAGACTCAAACATATTGTGCTAAACAAAATTTATAGGGACCCCAAGATGGCACCCCTAATTTCTGAAACCCCCCTTCTTTCCAAAGCACGTCCCCAAGTAGATGAGCAGCGAGGCGTCGCGACGCTTTTCCTCCAGTTGCCCATTGCCAGTTTCGCCCTGTCAGAGAGGACGACGGAGGCTGCGTGTGGCTGTCTCAAAAGTCTGGGTCGTCTTTAAGGGTTCATAGAAATTGCATCGGGATATCTTTGGCTGTAGCTGGGAGCGGTAACCAAGTGTTGACACCAACATAGGCCATGCAGCGAAGCAGACATCAAAAAGCAGCGGACAATATCAAACAACGCACAAACACGTGGCTGTGACCAAAAGCACGGAGGGCGCGATCAGAAGGCAAAAAAGGCATCGATCAACAACCCACTGGAGCGCGATCAAAAAGTACGGGAGCGCGATCAGAGCAACACCAAATAAGAAGAATCAAACAGACGACAGTTCTGCATTTCGCGAAAGCGAGGTTCCGAAAGTGGCAGCAGTTCTGCATTTCGCGACCGCGAGACTGCTAGGACGCTCTACGCATGAGCGCTGTCACAATGCTGTCCTATAGTCCGCCTGAAGTAGATAGAAGATGGGGGTATAATGGCATCTTATTATAGTATACCCGAAGCCATATTCTCTCTACTTAAGGGGAAGTATAACTCCTGTATATACCCCATTATAATATGGTAGTTTCCATTTTCTTCTGCATTATCCCTATATAATATACCCCATATTCTATCACCCTAAGCCCTGGGGACTATAAACCCTAAACCCTGCCAGGTGGTTGTGAAGCTTTGTGGCGCACCTCGCTTGGCCATGCTGGCCGCATCAGTCTCTCTCCAGTACATGTCTGTGCAGGCCGGTTTAGGGTTTAAGGGTTTGGGGCTTAGTTTCCTGATGCCAAGTTCGCAAGAACTAACTAGTAGTTTCCATTTTCTTTTTCCATTATCCCTACACAACCCTATATTATACCTCTGTATAACCCTTGCCCTGAACCCTAAACCGCGCTCACCTAGCGTGATTTAAGCCAGGCCAGCTTGTATTGGAGGTCAGCCTGAAAAGGGTTCGCAATTTAACGGTCAAAGCCCAGGAACATGTCAAAGCAAATAACGTGTATGGTAGTACCAAGCAGCAAGCACATAACCTCATACAGTCAACCCCTGGTAATGGTCAGATATAGTCCTTCATAAGTAGATAGAAAATGGCTTTGGGTAACATACAATAAGATCCCCATATACACCATATTCTATCTACTCAAGGGGGACTATACCCTAAACCCTAAATATTAGTTTCCATGTTCTATTCCATTATCCCAATATTACCTCCATATTCTATCTACTTTAGGGGGACCAACCCCCTAAACCCTAAACCCAAGCCAAAGGCTCTGACCTTATTTTGGTAGTTTCCCTGCGCAGAGCGACCCCAATTTAGGCCCCCAAAATAGTATACTCCTCATTTCAGGGACCTCCGCAAAGGAACCCCCAATTTGCGAAAACCCAGAATGCCTGTATACTAATCTAATCCTCCAGTTTCCATTTTGTTTTTCATTGTCGCCTCATTTTGATTCTTCATTATTGGGGTAGTACCCCCTAAACCCTAAACCCTAAATAGTAGCTTCAGTTTTCTTTTCCATTACCCCTAAACCCTAAACTCTGACTTTGCTTCTGCCCTCGAGATGGTAGAAGCCTCATCTGGTTCCGCATGGGCGTTCTCCACCATGGCCGCGGTTACCGCCATTTTTGCCATGCTCTGAGCGGGTTTAGGATTTAGGGTGACCGATTTAGGGTCTGGGTTGCTGTGAAGGATCTTGACTTAAGTTTTCAGAATAGTTCTAAAAGCGGCACATTGTGACATCCAGGCTTGCCTCGTAATTTTGACTTAGCTTAAACTCCTCAACAGAGACCCCGCGGAGTCAATCCTTCCCCTTCACAATGAAACACCCAGCGGCGTAACATGAATATTCTCCCTATTGTGCTACGGTATATTGAGAAGATGTATGATTTGGGGTGGGATGAATGATTGTACTGAAGCTGCTGCTGACAATGTAAACTCAGAATGCATCATCATGACTTCTAGTCATAGACTTTAACTCTACACGTCTGGCTACTGTCCCCTCAGCAACAATGCCAGTCATCGCGATATCCTCGAGCGCATGCGTTGTTTGCCCACTTTCGGCATGCCTGGTGCTGAGGTCATCACTCCACGAGCGTTGTGGAAGAAGATGGCCCAGATCTTGCAGAAGGTAGCCAAGGTAAGCCTTGGCAGATCTGCATGACCAGACAGTTTGGGGTTAAGATTTTTGGGGTTTAGGGTGGAGGGGTTTAGGGCTTGAGGCTGTAGGGGTTTAGGGATTAGGGTTTGGAGCTTTGGATTTGGAGCGTAGGGTCCCTTGGCCCAGAAAATACTTGGACCTCCGCCGTTAGGATTCAACGCTGGTCTAGCTGCAAAACGTTCCCGATGAGCCCCATATGAGTAGTATTTTTGATGAGGGTATTACAGGCCCCACTAGGCTCAATAGACAGTAAAGTCATGTCCTCCTTTCTGGGTACGTAGTTTTATGCGAAGGATAAAATACTGTTTGGTGGTCACCAACTGTGCAACTCAATCAATCTCAGCACGAAATCTGCAGTTCCTACTAAGACACCTCGCATGTTCGTCCTTATGACCTTAAATAGCTGCGAACTTGTTGCTGAAAAGCCCACTCATGCTTTAGCTAGGAATCTGGGAATGAATTCCTGTTCTAGCTCCTGTACATATACGTCGCGTGGAGTAATTCCCAATGCTGCCTTAAATCCGCTACTCATTCCCAAAAGCAGAAGTAAACCCCAAAAGACCTTGAACCAGAAATAGACCTTAAATCTTCCACCTTGATCCTCAAACTCCAAAGCTTAAACCCCAAACCTTAGGCAAGCGCAGCCCCTTAGTCCTGAACCGTAACCCATAAACGCCAAGCCCAGAAACCCTACACCCTTAAACCCTAAACTCTAAACCCTAATCATAAACGCCAAGCCCAGATAGCGAGAGGTTGCCATAGCAGTCGGCTCTTCCGTCTATGCAGCAGCTTGGGTGCTTGCTGTGGTATAGGGGGTTTAAGGTTTAGGGTTTAGGGTATAGGAAAAGATCAGATTAATGGTTTACTTGGAGGCCTGTGGGACATAGTAACTACTTATAACTGGGCTTAGAACCCTACTTATAATCCCCCTAAATGGGCTTCTAGGGGTTTCCCTCAGTTAGAAGTAGGGTTCTAAGTAGTTATTAAGTCCCATGGGCCTCCGAGTAGTGCTTAGGACTTAGTGCTTGGGTTTTGATGATCTTGGTCATAGGGTTGAGGGCTTAGGATCTGGGATCTAGATAAAGAGTGGGCCTTGATAGCAGGTGATTCTCAGTGCTGCTTTTGCATAGATCGAACTTAAATCCTAGATGGCCTTGAGAGGGCTGTAGCCCCAAGCTCCAGACCCTAAACCCTAAACTCCTGGATCCTAAAATCCGAAAGCCTAAAGTCCTCAAATCCTGAAGCACGTGTCATAAGCACTTCGCCCTAGAATCTTGAACCCTAGACATTAAATCTGACATCCCAATCCTAAGAATCCTAGAAACATGTAAGGTTTTAAAGCCAGTAAGGCAGTCACTTGGCCATGGCCCAGAGTTCTCTATGGTGTGTGACCTGGCTTGAAAGAGCAGGAGGTATAAGTGGGGGTTCATCCAAAAGTTCATTGGGGTTTTATAGGGTTCAGGGATGTTCCCCGAATAACGGAGAATCAATGGAATAAGAACAATGAAATTGAAGCTGGACCTAGAGTACAGGGAAATCATTTTCCATCATGGTCGTTTTGGGAACTAAAGTTTACACCAACCAGCATATACTAACGTTTCCAAACATAAAGGGCGAGACGAAGCAAAGAGCTAGACTCTATCTTTTGACATTCTATTCAAGGCCTTGCTGAAATTTGCTGGAAGAGTTTGGGAAATCAGCTCATTTGGTTGTCCCATGCCCGTTATCTTGATGTCTTGCAAAGCTCCACGAGAACTGGGAGAAAACGAAGCTGACAAGTCCTGCAGGCGAATGTTGCCGAAGTACTTTTTGCAAGCTGTCTGCTGGGTAGGCCCCTGGGATATTCAATCTGTTCCCTAATGGTTTTAATGAGGGACCATGTATACTAACATTTTTCAAAGGGTTTTAGGGGCCAACCCAGTCTGGCATCTGAGGCAGACCTTTCTTCAGCTGCCTCCCTTGGTGTGGATGTACGAGGTGCGATTTATCCTTGAGCGTCGGCCTCTGTGAAACATGTGCGAGAGCAGCTGCAGACCAGCTCCACCGTGGTCCCTGTTTGTTGTAGTATATTATAGTATACTATAGTATACTATCGTGTAGTATTCTAATATCTTATTATAGCATATTATAGTATTCTACCCTAGACCCTGAAGGTCGTCGTATACCCATCCTGGCAGATCCTGAGCCCACTTTTCAAGCCCATCGCAACAGCCAGCATTGCTTGCGCCAGCACTTGGGACATAACTCTTGGACTTGCTGTACCGTCAGTCCAATCTTCACGCGCAAGCATGAAAGCTGAGGATTGGGAGCGGGTAGGTAGAAACATGGTGCTTCATCTGAGGTTTCCGTAGCTTGCTGGCGCTGATGGGTGGCGATGTTACAGCCGCAGAGGCACCTCGGACAGCTCAACTTCCCAGGGGGTGAGTGGAACACAGGGAAGAACAAGATTAACAGAGATAGGGAGGATTATTGTCTCTAGCTAGCAGCATCTTGCCATCATCTGAAACCAGCATCAGCACCCCACTATCGTCATGATTTCAACAGGTACTTTGCAGTATCCTTCCTTGTCTGCGAGCTCAATAGTCCACTATCAGCATTATATCCTCATCTCAGCACGCTATTTCTTAGCACGGGGGGAGAACGACCTAATCGTGCTTAGTTGGGAATGGTACTTCAGCCCCCAGAAGAATCCCTGCGATACTCCCTTGAGCCCAGTCCTCCACTCATGTCTATATTCTACATGAGCTGTAGTCACGTCTAAGCTCCTTAACGGAGGTTTATGAAGCGGACTACTATAGGAGTTAATAAGGGGAATACTGGGAGTTTAGACTACGGCTCATACAACGTCAGAGTAAGGTAGCTCGGATGCTGGGACAACTCTTCTGCGCATGCTCAGCGGCCCTGTCCAGCAGCTGTTTGCTTCTGGTCTACATGTCGAGACTGAGGCCTAGGCTGGAAGATGCAGAAAATTGGTTGCAATGGTGTAGGGGTTCAGGGTTTAGGGTGTAGGGTGTAGGGTGCAGGGTGTAGGGTTTAGGGTGTAGGGTTTAGGGTTTCAGGGTGAGCAGCAAAGTGGTCGCAATGGGGTATGTCTCTGGGTTTAGGCCATAGGGCTTAGTGTTGGGTGCAGTGGTGGTGGAGGTGGTGCTGGTGCTGGCCTCCAGCAATGAGAAACTTGTTCTGGCTAGCGGTGGTTGTATAAGGAGTTCGTATGAGCAGATACAGTCAAAACTAGTGGCAATAGTACTCGCTACATGTTGTTGAGGTAGACCAGCGCGGCATAGGTCAGAAATGGAGAACAAGATACCCCAAGCTCACCAATATGAACGGATCTTCACTGTAAGGACTGCTACCGCAAGAGGTTTGTGAATTGGACATGTCCAGCCCATAGTCATGTTCCTTTCCTGCTACGATTTGTACACCAAACTGAGAGACCCGCGTCCGCATTTTTCATACATTTGCCCTCAATTTCTGTGAGCCCAATGAAAAGTTCTACGGGCTGGAGATAAAGCTTTTCGCAATCCTCTCAAACCAACTATAAACTCAAAAAGTCCCATGACCAACGTACAGAACCATACCTTCCTTTAGCCATAAGCCCTTGCATGGCCCTAGCACATCCTCACGAACACCAGTCTCATTCCCATACTCTGTACACCAAGAGCAGTTCCCCCCCAAATTCACAAGATTTGTCCCAGTTCTTGCCAGGAGTGAGCAGCCGGATCCTCTTCGGCGGCCGTGGCTCCTTTGGGCGTCCTCTGGAGGGAAGAAAGTCTAATGGCACCAGGAACAGCAACATGTCAGCCTAATAACTACAAGGTTCCTGAAAATGGTTTTTAATTTCTCTTACCTAGAATCCTAATGTTTAGCTGAAATTACAATTTCTACTGGGGTTTCCAAATCCCTGAGAGATAATGCTTGCAGCAATGTCAGTTGTGGTCGTGGAGGAAGCAGCAGCGGGAGGAGGTGCAGGAGGTGCTGGCGGTGCATGGTGGTGGCGGCGGTGGTGATGGTAGTGGCAGCACTAGCAGCACGCCACTGCACTGTTGATGTTTCGCGTGGATATGTCGCCTGAGGGCTTCGTGAGCCCTTGGAAAAGTCTATGAGCCCTTGAAAAAGTCTAGCTGCATAATGCAAAGTTGATGGCCTGTACTGGTTAATGCGCGCATTACTGTGAGAATACTCAGCAATGTGGAAAGCATTGTTGCAAGTTAACGAGTGCCTGATAAAAGTTGTGGCAATCGGCCACCGCACTGCTAGCCTCAACATTTCTCAACAGACAGCAATGGCGGTGACTGTTGCCCGTCTCCGGCGACTTTTTTACCATAGCCTTCCCAGCCTGCAATCCTCAACTGCAAACCCTAAACTCGGCCAACCTCCCTGAGGTTCATGTACCCAGCCAGCCTTGTTGCCATTCCTGTTCGACTGGTTCGGCTGTTCTGGCGCATTCTCATGTACAGATTGCTGCCTGTCCTGGTCACTCAGACGCACTTTTATGCACGGAGAGGGGATGATTTGAGTTGTCTACCACACCCCTCCTTGCCAGTTCACAGGTCGCTGAGCTGAGCTCAAGTTACTTAAGACTTACGTTGACATGCGCGTTCAGTTTACAGCCTGCCCCCTTGCAGAGTAACAGCCATAGTAGCAATAGTAGTAACAACAAAATAGTAATAGTAACGCCCTAATCCCTAAACCGTATATATCCCCTTATGGCAGTCTCCATTTTCCTTTCCGTGATCCCTATATGCTTGCAACGCTTAGGACATCTTCTGGGATGCCATGGGCAAACTCTTCAAATTCGCAGTCCACCACCCCATTGTTTCGATACCGGCTGTCATCTGCTTCAATGTGGTCCTCATCAGCAGCTCTGCTTGCATACGCATTGGATGGGTTTGGGGTTGTATGGGGGGTTATATTGGGATAATGGAAAAGAAAATGGAAACTACTATTTGGGGTTGAGGGTATAGTCCCCCTTAAGTAGATACAATATGGGTATAGGGGGATCTTATTCTATGTTACGTAGGATTTAGTGTGTAGGGCTTAGGGCCCAGTTGTGAATTCCAGGCCAGAGACAGACGTGCCATGCTCTGTTCTTGAGTGCAAGTCCAGGATCAACTTCAACATCGAAGGCGCTGCTGCAGGCGCGGCATTATGCCCCCTATCCGTTCTTGTGGGTTCTCCTACTACCCCCTCTATACTTCTAAGCTGAACCCATGAAGTTCTTGGCACTAAAGCTCCCTCAACCCCAAACCCTATTCCACCTAGATTCCCCGCTTAATTAAGCTGAACCCATGAAGTTCTTGGCTTTTGAGTGCCAAGGTGATGGCCCAAAGCTCTCCTTGGGCCATGGTCTTGCTGCATGACCTCCAGAAGCTTCAATTGGCTCTGGTGGAAGGCCTTCATAAGTCTTAGTAGTAGTAGTCTTAGTAGTAGTAGTAGTAGTAGTAGTGGTGGTATAGGTGTAGCAGTAGCAGTAGCAGTAGCAGCAGTAGTAGTAGGAGGAGGAGTAATAGTAATACTAATGCTCATAGTAGTAGTAATTCTAAAAAAATAGTAGCATGATTCTCGTGACAGCTTGCAGACGTTTTGTGCCCAGGACCTACCGACTCTACGCTGGCCCTCTTGTTGATCGGACTTGTGCAGGCGATGAATGGAAAAGGCATCCATCCTGTAAGCATGGAGTCGGGATAAAACTGCCAGGCTGGATCTTTTGCCATCATTGACGGCATTCTCTCCGTGCTGCGAGTTGTGCGCAGCCTGCATGCTGCAATTTTGGAAGCATGTTGCGAGGGCGGTTTTCAAGGGTATATGCTTGGGCAGTGGTAACATGCGCAACTGTTGTCCTACATGGGTTGTGAGCTGCGAGTTACATGCCTTCCTCGTTCTCAAGTGGTAGTTGTTCAAAATACCTGTCCCCACAATGGCCATACTGTAGGTTCCTGGTTATTTAGGATTCCCGTTTGAGGAAGTGCATTCTCAAAGGTCTCTCCCTTGCTTAGCACAACCCCCAAACCTTACACTTTGAACCCTAAAACCCTAAAACTCAAACCCTAAAACCCTAAAACTTAAACCCTAAAACCCTAAACCTTAAACCCTAAAGCCCCAAGCCTTTAGAACAATCCCCATGTGTCTCAGGCCAAAGGACTGGCCTCGTGCTCAGCTTGGAGGACTCCAGCTGGCCGTGAAAACACCATTATGTGAGCCATAGTCTAACCTCCTATAATAGGATTATATGGGTGGTTGTCAAGATGATGGTCCCTTTTTGGGTCCCTATTCTAATACGGGGCCTAATTTAGGGAACCCAAGAAGGGACAATAATTTTGACAATCCCCCATATAGGGAAGTACTATAGGGGTTATACAGGGGGATACTAGGAGTTTAGACTATGGCTCATGTGAGCCGTAGTCTAAACGCGGTTCAGGGTTTAGGGGGTTTTAGGGTTTAGAGTTTAGGGCTTAGAGTCAAAACTCGTTAAAGGGGGTTATAGAGGGGATTATATACCCCCTTCATTTAGGGCTTAGGGTCTAGGGTCTAAATTCCATAACGGGGCGTTATATAGCGGAGTATTATACGGGTAATTAAGGGGGATACTAGCAGTTTAGACTTTAGATCATGTAGACCCAATCCTCGCTAGCTTGAAGTTCCTACGAACCTACGAGTTCAGGCAAACAAGCAACAAGTTCAAAAAGGTGGTATTCAATCGAACATCCAGAAGGTGGTCGCAACAAGACCCTGTTTTACAAGTGGCCCTAAAACCTAAACCCTAAACCATAATTTAAGTGTTCAGGGTGGAGGGTTCAGGGCTGCAGGAGCTGAATGAGCTTGCTGCTGCAATGGACGATCCCCGACAGTGCGGTCGGTGTGGGTTCGGTCCAGTGGACCATCGAGGCAGTTGAGCATGTAATGTACTTGGAGGCCCATGGGGGACTTAGTAACTATTTATAACTGGGATTATGACCCTACTTATACTTGGGGTAACCCCTCTAAGCCCACTTAGGGGGTATATGCCCAGTTATAAGTAGTTCCTAAGTCCAATGGGCCTCCAAAGCAGCGGCCTGAAGAACTAGAATGGGATTCTGGGGATGGCTTACCGTATATATATGGCACAAGTAAGAGGAGACTTTGATGATAGATACTGACTGCTTAACTATGAATATGGGGTATATGCGGATCTTACTGCAAGATACCCGAAGCCATCTTCTATCTACTAAGGGAGACTATATCAAGAGCTAGCGCATGCAGCGTTCTGGTATCTTGCTCTGGAGGTTGCTCAGACTTATCCGCGCATCATGGCGAAGTTTCCATACCTGGCGGGGCAGCCGTGTCGAACCAGTGTCCACGAGACCTATGCTGCAACTAAGCTATAGTGAAAAGTCCTTGGGGGGTTTACATCAGGGATATTTTAGGGAAACATGGGGATTGTTAAGGGGGATACTTGGAGTTTATAGATCAACTGATGATGTATGCTTTGAACAAAAGAACGACCAGTGGGCTACCCAGAACTTCCAAAGCTACATACACCCTAGTTTGAATTGAGGTCCCTAACATGACTCATGGTCTACTCCAGCATCATCCTTAATCCAGGGATTTACGGAAAGCTGAATAAAAGTATACTCCAGCATAATCCTTAATTCAGGGACTTGAAAAGCTACGGGCAGCGCTAAATCAGAAATCCTGAACCCTAAACCCGAAATCCTGAACCCTAAACCCTAAACCCCTAAATCCTGAACCCTCAACCCTAAACCCTAAATCCTGAACCCTAAACCCTAAATCCTGTCGTGACGGCAAAGGATGCGGCTGGTTCGTCCACAGACTGACGGAGTGGCCCTTGTGGGATGGCGAGATGCAGACATCCGGATCTGCAAAAGTTGGGGTTTAGGGATTGGGGTTCAGGGTTTTGGGTTTGGAGTTGTGTGTTGAGGGTTTAGGGTTAAGCCCAAGCATTTGCATATTTTGGATGGGGGTTCTGAGTGGAAGGAAGTTCAATTCCTAGATTTAGAGGTAGAAAAGGTTGACGGGTCTTGGGGGTTTCTCAGGGTGTAGGACTTAGGGTTTTGAAGCCGCAAGGACCTATGGGGACTACAATGTTCAGGGTTTAGAGTTTGCCCAACGCTTAGGGTTCTCCCACAGCCCGTCTCATCGACCGCGTCAAGTTCGGTTCGGCTTGGAAGTTGGGGGGGGGCGGGGTGGGGGGTGATAATTACGGCCCCTTCAGCTGCAGCCATCTTAACCTGTAAAACGCAGTATTTCGGGAACCCTCATGCAAAAACACTGCATCCATGTTCGAGAGCGTCCGATTACCAAAGCATCCAGGCCCAAGCCAGGGTGACGTTCATGTTCTAGAGTACCCGTTACCAGAACATCCATTCCCAAACTAGAACAACATTCATGTTCGAGAGCATCGCATTACCAGACCATCCATCCAAGTACCCAAAACACTCCGCCCCGTGGGACGAGGTTTATGTCCTGTCCGGGAGCCCTGATGCAAAAACACCGCGCGCGTAGTGGGACAAAATGCAGGTCATAAACAGCTTCTGATCGCGGGAACACAAAAAAGCCTGACTATCAGCGCTGTGTTCCGTTTGCTACACCTTTTTCGACCTGTAAAACGCAGTACTTTTGAACAGGGTCTAAATCTGGCCACGCACCTTCGCACTTGCTGACTGTGCGACATAACACTTGTCATTCTCTGTGTGCTGAAATCATGTGTTTTTGCACATTTTGACTACTAACACGTGCAACATTCTCATCTTCAATCAAGGTTGCGCGCAGAATTTTAGAAGAAGATTCCGCGTAGTCATCACCCTCCGTTCCTTGAACACACTAACCCCTACAAGCAAAATACACTGCAAAACACAGTCGTTTCTTTACCCTTCACATTGCATAACATCAAGCCCGCATGGATCTTCCGGAGAACCCTTTCCGTTGCGCGTTAGAGTTTAGGGATTTATGGGGAGCCCTATTGAGAGATTTGCAGGGGTAATTTATGATTTGGAGAGCCCTAAACCCTAAACCCTAAACCTAGATGATAGGGGAGGCCTGGAATGCTAGGGTCGTCACTCTCAAGGACATGAAATTCACGCAATTGGTGACTGACTCCCCTCCTAAAACCCTCAACCCTACTAAGCCCCAATTTTGAATTTGGCCCCGAACTGTTATCCTTGGGGCTGCAAAATGGTAACCTTGCTTGAAAAAGCATGAGAATTCCTTGTATACCCGAACAGTCATGTTAGCAAGCCTCGAAATTCCACTGCCAAATCGGAACCCTACACACACTGCTACGAAACAAAGAGCGTATGTAAGCCTTATGTACTTTCTCCCGATAGACCCCTTTGCAATCCCCAGCCTGTTACCAAGATTATCCCGAGGACAGAGCGGGGGCGTACTTTGTACCGCCAAAGGGCCTGGTGTGAGGCGGATATGTTTAAAAACATGGGAATGGATAGTGGAGTATATGGGGTATGTATGGATATATAGGGCTTAGGATTATACGGAGAATCAACACGGAAAATCAAATGGAAACTTGGGGCTGGGGAGTATTATGTCATCCTTATTTCTCAAGTTTTGTGTCGGCTACTGTACGGATCCGCTCATTCATTCCCCACTAGCAAACAAGATGGATGCAAGATCTGGGTTTGCATGGAAACCGCCAAGAGTTTGTTGAATGTGGGGGTCCAATTATGTGCACCCATTCTAGTTAACTGAACCTCATACCCTTTAGCCCTGAATCTTATGTTAGGCCCATTAACTTACCTAGATTCCTCAAGTCCCCTAGCAACCCTCTATGGAGCCCGAATACTGACAAAGAGAACCTACATATTCTATAGTCTAAACTACTTAAAGGGGGGTTATATGGGGGATTATATAGGGGACTACTATAGGGGTTATTAAGGGGGAAACTAGGAGCTTAGACTATAGCTCACATATTCCTCATTGAGGGTAGCTGGGGGTCCTGGTAGGGAACCACCTTCAGGTGGTAGTTTGCATCCGTGCATCATCCAAAGCTCTGGTAGTGCCGTACACCGTGCTGCTGCTTGGAAACTGGTTGAACTCTGCGACGATGGGTGCAGTGATGGTGCTGTCCTATCTTGTCCCGTGGGGATACGAGAATGCGAATCTGAGCTAGCATTCAGAAAGAACTTGATTGGCTTAGCGTGGGAGGGGAACCTCACATGGTCATAAAACTGAGAAGCTGAGCTTTGCTTTTAAGGAGCGTATGGGAGTCCCTGACTGCGCCACAAGTCTATGCACAGCGCGCAGCGCGTTATCGTCCTCCCGGCCGGCAGACCAGCCACTCTGATGATTCTGATTGCGGGGCTGCCAGACCCTCTCCGCAGCTGCCAGACATCACGGAAGAAGAGGCCACCTGGTTGTCAGTCAGCTCAGGGATATTCTAGCTTAAAGCATGTTCCTGCACTGCGGCGTGTATCTTTTACCCAACACGGGGTAATCCATGGCTTGCAAAGAAGCTGATTTACGAGCGGAACTATTCCCTCTCCTGCAAAGGCGCTTCGAAATATTCTTTCTGCGGTGCCAGCCCGGATCTTCCTCAAGCAGGCACCTGCAGCAGCGGAGAGAGTCATGCCTTTGCAAGCCTACATGAATGAATGACAACGGGAGATCCCACTAGTATAACCTCTTAAGACATGGAGCCTACTAGCACAAGTATGACAAGGAACCCTCATAGTTGCAGAAACCCTAGCTAGTCGAGAGAGGACCGCAGTTGGTAGTGGATCCCCACAGTAGACCCCGTACATCCTTTACACTGGTCCCATATCCGGGTCGAGGGGACTTAGAAAGCACACTTATACCATCTTATACCCCTATACGTAACCCATAGAAGAACCTCAGTTATCCGCATTCTTAACCTACTTACTAAAAGTTTCCCTGACCCTCCCAATATTTCTGTATTTCCTGGCAGTAACCTAGACCTTCCAACTACCCTGTATTTAGGCCTAAGCACCCAGTATTAAACCTTAAACCGTAAACCCCCAAAACCCTTAACCCCTCAAACCCTGAACCCTAAACCCGAACGAAGCGTACTATGAGTTGCTTGGAAGTGAGGAGGAAGTATGCAGCGTCTGTCTGGAAACCTTCGCAGCTAAAGCCGTTGACGCTGTCTCAGCCAGTGCCACAATCGAGGCTTTTGGCGAGGGCCTCAACCCGAAACCTCTAAACCCTGTAACCCTAAACCCTAAATCTCATTTTTATCCTTAGGTTCCGGGCTTAGGGTTTAGACTTGGGGTTGGAACGTAGGGTTTCAGTGGACCTTGCAAGGGACCATTGATTGTTGCTGTATGTGGTTATTCGTGGTTAGATGCTGACTGCCATTTTGGTTCCGACATTTCGTTCCGATTGTTACTTCCTCGATCTAGGGTGTTTGCGGTGTCTAGGGTCTAGGGTGTTCAGGGTGTCTACGGCGTAGGGTTCGTGGTATTTTTTTATTGTATTTTTTAATTGCTTGCATGTTTAGGGCTTGAACTTTGGGTTTACGGCCTAAAGGTTAAAGCTTTGAGAGGTGACGCCCAAACCACATTCGAGTCTGTAAGAACAGCCACAACAGAATCCCTCGGAGGCACCGTGTAAAATGTCAAAGCCTATATACCCTTATATACCCCTAAATATCCCTGTATATCCCACATATATCCCTATATACCCCGAATTATATATCCCTATATATCCCCATATATCGCCATATATCCCTACATGCCCCTATGCATCCCTATATATCCCTATATACCCCCATATATCCCTATATGCCCCCTCTAAAGGGGAACCCCTTGTGTATGAGGGAGCAATGGAGGCGCCCTAAAGCCTAAACCCCTAAACCTTATATAGCCCATTCTAGTCGTTTCCATGTTCTTTTCCATTATCCCCATAGAACCCCTAAACCCTAAGCCCAAAATCCCGATATCCATCCTTCGAGTTTGAGAAACTCTCACATCATGGTTGAAGGTTTAGGGTTTAGTCTATGCCATGTGGGAGCTTCTCAAATCCAACCCCTATAGGATCCTGAATCTTACTGGAGGCGAGTAGGGAATAAGGAAATGCATTATATGATTATGTAGGAATTATGTAGGGATTGTATTCCCTTGTTCCCTACTAGAAACCAGTAAGTATAAAATCCCAAGTATGAGCCCCCAGAATCCTTGTATCTAAACCTTCTGGGTCCTCACGGCAACCCTAATAGTGCGAGGATGCATGCAGAGCCTTGCGAGCTCAGCATCCACCAATTGTAGCTCTTCGCTGTGGCCATGCGCTACATGTTGAGTGTGCTGCTCGGCTGAGTTGTATTCTGTTTGAGGATATTATAGCCCCCCAATATAGGGTAAGATTAGCTCCTCCTTTTGTTGTATAGTACTTGATATCAAGAATATAATCTTACTAGGTTCANNCAACCACCCAAAAAACGCTACTCGGCTGACAAATCAGTTCGGTGGCAGGGGTAGGTGCGTACCTGCCAAGAAGCGTGGTCATTGCTGCTGGGTTGCTACAAAGCTATATCCTTGGGTACCTCAGTTTAGCCCATACCCAAGCGTCAACAAGTCGTGAGTTTATTGTTGCAGGCGTCCGGCACAACCTGGTTTAAGTTAAAGAGCCGAAATACCGTCCTCAGTTGGGAGTGGTTAGTTGCCATCATAGTCGCAGTAGTTGGAGTCATTATGCGAAAAAACGTCAGCAGTCAAATCATGTGAAAACCACGGCGAGCTTGTAAGTCTTCGCAGAAAAAAACAATGCTCTCTACACATGACCCAAGATAGGGAAGAGTGACCCCTGTGATCCCATCATTCCCTACTTGTAGGATGCCTAGGCGCCCCTGAGCACAGAAGTTTGAGAAACTAAAGTGTGGAACCTGCACTGCACCCATGGGAGGATGCAAGAAGTAGAATAACAACTTTGACTGATACCCTCTCATTATTGTTTAGGTAGTCCACAGTGATGTTTTAGGGGTCTCTAGTTTCTTGCCACCTCCTAAGCGTCAACCCCCNNCCCCCCCCCCCCCACACCCGCCCCCTTTGAACGTTCTATGATGCTGGGAATATGAATGACTACGGGGATGGAGAGGTTCATAAGCAGGGGGAGGGGATCAGAGTTTCCCAGGGCTTCCCGGAGGCCATAGCGGCTGTCTCAGCCTCCGCTGCACGCCATGTCCGATGTCCACTTTGCCGAGAGCCGGTGACCCTGACTGGGGAAGCTTCTGCGGCTTTCTTCAGCTGAGGCCATTGAGCGTTTAGGGGTTTAAGGTCTAGGATGTGTTTTTAAGAACATTTTCGTTATAGTATAACCCGAAGGAAATATTGAACGCAAGATTGTCGTTGTAGGTCTAGGGGGATAGAAGTAATTACTTGTATGCTCAGGTCTTTGAGGTTAAAGTTTAGGAAGGACTGAAGGAGTGGGGAAGGAAATGCAAATCACTTTATTGTGGAGACGAAAGTAGCTTCTATCATACTTATCGGGGATGAGTGGATTAGTAAGGAATAGGGGAATCTCTGCTAGCAGCTGCTAGCAACCAGGAAGCACATGAGCTATAGTCTAAACTCCTTTAAGGGGGCTTCTATAGGGGATTATATAGGGGACTGTTATAGGGGTTATTAAGGGGGATACTAGGAGTTTAGACTATGGCTCATATCGGGCTTCAGGATTAGCGCTCTTCGTGCGGTTTAGGGCTTCAAGGGGTTTGGGGTTTAGGGCTTGGTAAGCCTAATCCGATTGACGTCGGTCCATAAGAGAAATTCCGGCGACATGAATTTGCCCTGGACCTACCATTTGGGGGATTGTCAAAGTTATGGTCCCTTTTTGGGTCCCTATTATAATACGGGGCCTAATTTAAGGGACCCAAAAAAGGACCATAATTTTGACAATCCCCCATTTGAATCAGGGTCTGGGGTCACCAACCAAAGGATGCCTATGTCACCTATCCTTAAACCCTACACTCAGTTCTCGGCTTCTATTCTCTGCAAACCCTAAACCCCTAAACCCTAAACCCTCTTATATTCTCTCATTTAAAAAAGGATCCATAGTCTAAGAGTCAACATAGGACCTCGGAAATGCCAGAGTGAGAGTCTTGGGCGCGCAGTTTTTGTGATGCAAAAATAAGGGAGTTGCCGAAGAGTAGGGGCCCTTTTGGGCCCCCATTTGAGGGATTAACGTATTTTAAGGTATAGATTGCGGCCCCCCCGATTGCGGCCCCCCGATTTTGAAAACACCAACCCTTCTTCATTCACGTCCTTTCCCCCTTTAGCGTATTAAGATCACTTGCTTGCATTGTTTTCACCTTTCATGTTTTGGATAATGGGCGAAGCGAACTCCACGGAAATGAGTTCATAGGTGAGTGCAGTGAATGAACAAAGTGCAAGAATTGAAGGCTGCAAATTCAGACACATCAAAATTCAATATGATACAGCGATACCTGGTTTGGGGTTCAGGGCTTCGCTGAATCATCCCTGGATCATGATAGTAGAGAGAAGATGAGTATATCTTTTTTGGTTCATTGCTCTGTGTACTTTACTATTATTTCAGTACCCGCTAACGCACGGGAGTGATACCCGCCCATGGAAGTGACCTTGATGACTTTGGATTGAGAAGATTTCTTGAAACCGGGTGTCTTTATGAGGGATCAGGGAGTTTTTTGAAAAAAGGCCCATGTACCCAAAAAGCAGTCGATCAAGGCTTCTGCTACAGTGAGGATCAAGTAGGTGACGTTCCTCTCAACTGTTGCCATCTTGCTTCTGTCACGCCTGCATTTGCAAAGTCAACAGCATGCACCACAGGTATGGGCGGCTTCTGTTGAAGCACTCACGTCGTGAGAGCAGATCATGGCAGCTATGCGGCGCACAGTAAGTGGCTGCCTCCCTTCCCTACCGGGATCCTCCTATCCTTTGGGAATTATTACTTAGTCTTTCTTGTAGTATAGTCCCCAAAACTACAAACTGGTATTTTAGGTTGGGCCCCCACCCACTAATGGTGACCCCAAAAGGTAATGGTAATTATATTAGGTCCTTATATATTCCTAATATACCACTATTAGTGGGTGGGGGCCCAACCCAACTGGTATTCTTATTGTATGCCCAAGGGTGTTACGGGATCTGGGTAAATGATGGCTCCGCGGCTGTGACAGTGCTTGTTTCAGACATGAGCTATAGTCTAA